CTACAAATCAAGGGGCCCAGAATGTGGAATGACCTTCCCAACCATGTTAAAGACAGTACCTCTCTCAACCAGTTTAAGTTAAAAACGAAGCTATACCTAATAAATTCCCTGTAACCTACCTTACCCCTCTATTGTCAACCCATGTATGTTTTTTTTTTTTTTTTTTTTTTTTTTTCAAATCAACGCTGTTTTAATGTAATTTTCTGTAATAATTTGTAATTGTATTTGTGCTGTTTTTTCAACAATGTTCCCCCTCTTTTACCTCTATTTTTATTTGTACTCAATGCATTTTTTTCTTTTTACCCATTAGTTTTAAGCTTTAGTCAGGAGTGTTTTTTTCCTGCCCGAAACGCTTTGCGTAATAGTGGCTTTAGGCATTGTATGTACTAGCTCTATCTATAAAGCCAACAAACTTTGTAAAATTTCTTTATGTATGTACCTTTGCCTAAATAAAAATTATTATTATTATTATTATTATTATTACATTGCATACTTTATTCCCAAAAAGACGTGGTCTCTTTTACCCAAGGGAGGAAGGTACTGAATGTCAAATATCTCTTCCTTCTTTCTCGTAAATATCAAACCTAGCATGGAGGTAACGTCCTCTTCCCGGGGAGCTGGTTGGCTGAGCGGACAGCACGCTGGACTTATGATCCTGTGGTCCCGAGTTTGATCCCGGGCGCCGGCGAGAAACAATGGGCAGAGTTTCTTTCACCCTATGCCCCTGTTACCTAGCAGTAAAATAGGTACCTGGGTGTTAGTCAGCTGTCACGGGCTGCTTCCTGGGAGTGGAGGCCTGGTCGAGGACCGTGCCACGTGGACACTAAAGCCCCGAAATCATCTCAAGATAACCTTCCCTCATCCTCGTAGCGTGTTTAACATGTTGATACAAGAATGCTTCCAGGATGAGGTCTACAAATGTACAGATCCAAAAATCTTCTGTTTTAGCTTCATATGTTTCCCAGTCTCTGGATTTCAAGTTGAAGTCGCCTACTATCAACAGTCGTGATCTATCGTTATCCGCTTTTGCTATAATCTCTCTCATTATTGTTATAAGACCTTCTCGTTTACTATCTAGCTCCTCCTTTGACTATGTGCTGCTTGGCGGTAGACTATATGCATTTATGATCATTAGTTTATCATCCTCATGGCAGATCTCTAGTGCTATTATGTCAACTTCTTGTGGGTTGGCAGTCCTGGTCATTATTTCCTTCACCTTTAGGTGTTCTTTCACCAGCACCGCAACGCCACGCCACCACCTTTCCTAATTTTTCTGTTCCGTCTCCAAATTGAGTAGCCCCTTGGGAATATGACCTCATTTAAAATAACATTCGTCGTCCCTTCAACTTCTAGTGTGTGGTCTGGTCAACATACTTCAGCCACGTTATTGTGACTCATCGCCTGCATAACATCTTCAAGTTTTGTCTCTGTGAGTGCAACAATGTCTGGTGTCTGCAGCTGTATTACATCACTTAACTCCAGTATCTTCGATCTCACTCCATCTATGTTGGTGTATGCAATCTTCAGGAACTTGTTCCTCCCTCTCCTTATTCTTCACTCCCCCTCTCTCTAATGATTTTGTTGGTTTGCCTTTATGTACCACTTTACTGGTCTGCCTACCCCTATCACTTCATAGAAAAAAAAATTGATTTTTTCATTCCTGCTCTCATTTAAACGTTTTGCCTCGGTGAGGTTCAGTTTCAGCTTCTCTCTATTTTCTTTTGAAAGATCTCGTCTTAACGACCACACTTCCCCATCCTCATCACTTTAATTTTCTAGCATTCCTTAGTACTGTACTTCTTCCATCCGTTTGGCACCGTTTAGGGTGATTCTCAAAGGTCGATCTTTCCCTTTTACGTATCTGCCTATTCTCCTCTGGTCGCACACATTCTCTATGGTAGTAAGACCTTCCACGAGGCCAATAATTTTATCTACTACTTTTGCTTCTTATACAGTTCTTTCTGACCTAGATGTTATCTCCTTTTCTTTGCAACCAAAAACTATCAGGGACTTCGATCAACTGTGTTTTGCACCAACTTCGGGTTAGATGTCAATTCCTTTCTCACTTCTAGCTTAATGTTTGTTTTATCCTGGTTGCTGCAGTGTTTTGCTTCCTTTACTGCTGCTTCAATTTTTTCCTTCTCCTTGGCCACTTGTGCATAGGTGAGTTGCATATCTTTCTTGCACTGTTCTATTCCCTGTGTAACTTCCTCCATCTGTGCTGACAAAAGCTGTTTCTCCTTTTGAATTTCCTTACCTAACCTACTGTAGCCATTTATGTTTAAATTTACTTTAACTTCTTCCAAAGCTATTTTTAAGAGTTTATTTTCTTCTTCCATGGCTTTGCAATTTGTTTCCAATTGATTCTTGTCCTTGCACAAGTCTTTCACTAAACCCTCAAGACATAAAACTTTGCTATTCAAATGGTCATTACTTTCTTTCAGTTTACTAATTATTTCTACATGAGAGTTCACTATAGTATCTAATTTTACCAACTTGTTGTGTACTGTTTATATCAATGCTTTCTTCATTGAATCCCGCAAAATCAAGCTCTGTTTTGTTTTTCCTCTTGCCGGCGGCCATCTTCTGTGTAATACAGTGTGTTACTGTGTAAATAGTGTGTGAAACTGTACATATTGTAATTTTAGTGAATTTTTAACAGATAATATTGTGACAATAAACATTTATTGTGGACACATTACTGACACATGTATCACAGTTCCATGGAACATTATGAACGTTTTACTGTATACATATTGTAAAGGACACAAATATGCATCATATACGATAAAAAAAAAAATAAAACCGCATTGGGAATACATAAAATAAATAATTGAAAATATATTTGTGGCAACACCCGGTGCTTGAATGGCCCGCGTGACCGTGTCTGGGCGATTCACGCACGGGCGACCAGGCTCTGATGATGTCACAGTGCACCTTGTCCACGTCCCCACAGCCAAAGTAAGTGGAATTTGGTATTTATTTTTACATAAACATGTTCAGGAAAGGGAATTTATCATTTTACGAAGAAAATAACATTTTTGAGGAACACTTTATTTCATGCGCACCGGGGGAATTTCACAATAAACTCGGCGCAGCACGGTGGTTAAACCGTCATATGACAATGACTGCATTCCCCCCCCCCCTAGTAACATTCATAACGATAACCGCATTTGTACCATGACATGGTAGCAGGATTTTTTCATAGGTCAAGGTAAACGTCAATACATCCATGATATCCTTATTTGTATTATACTGTACCTGTAAAACCCAGACAATAAATGTTTTAATCTTCTTTTGACGATATCTGCATTACCTTGTGGATCAACAATTGACAATGTCCATAGCTAAAGGTTAAATATGCCAAAACTAGAAGATAAGAAGAAAAGAGGAGATATTATCACTATGTACAAAATAGTAATGGGAATCAACAAAATTGATAGGGAAGAATTTCTGAGATCTGGTACTTCTCGGGTCAAGAACAAGAGTGTCTAGATATAAGATAACTAAAGAAAGCTGCTGAACTAATATAAGAAAATTCACTATCGCAAACAGCGCATAGGTTCGAATCATCCTTATGGCTCTTACTGATTTTCTCATTGATACATCACATTAATTTGATTTCTTGGTGCAATATATACACTTTTAATGGTATAAATTTTAAATATTATATTATAAATAAAATATTATAAGGACTGGTTCCAAATCTGCACAGAGAAATAACTACCTAATAGACTAGGAGATAAGGCAGGAAGTGCAAAATAGCTCCATTGAAAAGCAGAGGTACAATAGGCACACTACAGTACTATCAATATTAAGAGCCAAGACTTTTTAACACACTCCCTCTATACATAAGGGGCATAATTTGCTGACCTATCAGGGTGTTTTAAAAGAGAACTTGATAAATGTCTTCAAAGGATACCTGATCAGCTGGGCTGTGATTCATATGATAGACTGTGAGCAGCTGCATCTAACAGCCTGGTTGTCAGACCACCAACCAGAAGGCCTGGTCAGAGACTGGGCCCCAAGGACATTGATTTCCAGAACCATCAAAGGTAGACACAAGGTAGGGTTTGGATCCTGTGATGCCAGATTCTAGGGATTTGATATTGCCTTCAGCTTCCTCAGCTCTGTAGAGACATTCCTGGTCTTCTCGCAGTATTTTGTGCTTTCCCTTTCGTGGTTTGCCCCCTTTGACTGTGAGGTGTGGTGTTGCTGCAAGCCTTCTCAGGTCTTCGCTAATGATGCCTGAGTATTTCAAGTGGTTTTCCAGGGCCTTCAATAGGTGTAGCCTTAGATCCCCCCCGCCCTTATTTCAGTGTTGCGGATGCAGGCTCAGTTGTCTTCTGCTCTGCAGGATTATAGCAGAATGAATGACAGCAGGGGTAGACCTCTTTATGTTGGCATACTTGAATGTAATGAAATGCCCTTTTCTAGTGGGCCCCCATTAGCCCTGCCCTGTTTCCTTCTTCCCTGTTAGATAATTTTTTTGTTTTCATGGGTGGCATCAGAATGAGAGGGGCAGGCTGGCTGAGACCTCAGGGGACTTGGGCTGCTATCTGGTGGTGGTGCATCACAGCCAGGGCATTTATCCTGTGGTAATGACTTTGCTTTGTTTATCTAAGGGTGTCTAATTTTATTCAAGAAGTCATTTATTTTGCCAATCCTATGTTTTCCGGTGGGTTTTCCCCCCAGTTTTGTGGTTGATCTTTTTGGCGCCCCTCCTCCTCCTCCTCCTGCCTTTTAATGTGGGATAGTTGCTGATCGTTGTTCCTGGCTGGTAATGGATGAGCCTCCAAGACCTGTTGTGTTCAAGGGATAAAGCTTGCTGGTATCAGAGTAAAGCTTGGGAAGCATTTCAGGACCCACTGGAAAAGGACATTTCATTATTCAAAACAATACTTGATTTTTCTCTAGGCTGCTGTCTTCCCATACCATGAGAGGAAAAAATGGGTTAATGTAATGTACTACACAGTAAAGTGATGATTTTTTTCTTTCAGATTGATGTCATTACAAAGCTGGTGCATAAAGGTATATTTCATCTTCCTTTTCAAGAGACTAAAACCATTCTGCACCTGATAGTCATCACTTTTGACAAGTAGCACCTCAGAATGAAGGACTGGTTGTGGTTATCAGGTATGATTGCTTAGTTGCTTAGTATTACATACTTGATATAAGAAAAATATAAATCAAATATTTATAATAGACAGTGATACATACAGTATTTTATTTAAATTTAGAATCATACAAAATCACAGGCAAAAGGGAAGGAAAGCTTGTAGTGCTTTAACTTCTTCGCTGCACCACTGTTTATGCCATTGCAACACCTAGGTGGGCATAAAAAAAAAATTCCTTCTAATACTGTACTGTATTGTTAAAATGCATTCCCTGATTACAGGGGAAAATAATACAGAAATTGTGACTTGCTTTCGTGGTGGTGAAGCCTGAAAGTCTCGTGATGACATCACAATTTATTTGCACTCATCGAGTAATTATCCCAGGTAGTCGTCCCAAGCCAGCTGTCAGGCAGGAGTTGCCTCGAATATACTTTTTACATATTTCATTTCGGTTTCTGATTAGTCTTTTTTTGGGGGGGGAGGGGGGGGGCCTTTGGCTTCCCGGAGCTATCCAGGATGCCATGGATATATTTTAGACTTTGGCATCAATGTGAATGGAGTTCTAGGCCTACCGGGGACCACGAGTCAGAAACTTACCCCCTCAGAAGAGGCATGAGGAGCAATGGCCTATAGAAACCCCTGTGTGGTTGGAAGCATTCTATGTCTGCCATCGACCTGGTCAGGCACCCAGAATGGTAAGCACCCCAAAACAAACCCCTATTCTGATTAAGAAGTTGCTACTGAAAGCCGAACTAGTGGTCAGAACTCCCCAAATAAAAACGAGCAAACAAGCCTGACATTACCACGTCGCTGTCTGCTCAGCTTCCCCTTCCCTGGGAGGGGGAAGGGGAAGCTGAAGCCCCAGACCCCCAGTTCTTTGGCTGATGTTATTGGCAATGATTGTGTCTCTGGCTCCTGTTTTCCTGTCTTCAAGCTCTGTGCCTTGTGTGGTACTCATTCTCTTGTTGTGCGGGAGCCTGAACTTTGCCGTGATGGTCTACCTGCTGGGTCAGGTTTGGCTTTGTCGGCTGTTCTGGTTTCTTCAGGGATGTCCTTCCGTCTCTCTCACGATCTCTGGGTTTGGCCTCTGGGTGCCTTGCATCAGCTGCAGCGTCGCCGACTTTCCCTTTGGGTTTTTCGGGGTTCAGTGCCTTGGCGCCTACCCGAGCCCTCGCTCGATGTGTCCTCGGATGTGTTGTCTTTTGGCTGGGGCCTTGTGACCAGTGCTCACCAGGCGGGCCAGGGGAAGTGGGGTCAATCCTTCCATTGGGTCCCGAGCACAGTGTGGGAGTTTGAGGCGGTGTGGATGTCGTTTAGGAGGGTTCGGGTCACTCATGGATCGACCATCTGGCTCCACACGGACTGCTCCCCTGTGGTTCATTGCCTGTAACGAGGGGGTTCGATGTGGTCCTTGGCTCTGCCGGATGTACAGGCTCCCGGAGGTGAACCTCTTCGCGTCGGAGTGGTCGAAGCATCTTCCAGTATCTGTGGCACCATTTCCCTACTGCGCGGTCATCGGTGGTGATGCCTTGCGGCGCAGGACTCGTCGAGGTGGGGTTACCTGTACCTCTTTCCCCCTGTTCAGCTGTTGCTCCAGGTCCTGACTCGCTTGGAGACTTCCCAGGGGAGAGTAGTCCTCTTGGCTCCCTGGTGGGCAGTCCAGCCTTAGTTTCAGGCGCTGTTTGCTCGTTGTCCGAACCCGGGGGTCTTCCCTCGGCTCCGCCTCTTTCAGCAGATCGGACCAGTCCGTTACATGGCTGGTTCGATCTTCTCCTAATCTTCGCTTCTCATCTTTCTGACTCGGGTCTATCACAACTTGTATGATAAGCAGGTGGCTTCTTTGATGGTGTCCCACCTGCGTGCTTTGTCTTGGCAGCAGTATGAAGTTTCCTGGCAGTCCTTCCAGTTTCTCTTGTCCCTTCATCGGTTTCCTTCGGTCTCTGTTCGGATTGTTTTGTCCTTCCTTTTGTGGCTCTTCTAGGACTGTCATCTTATACCAAATACTGTCGCCTCTCATCGTACGGCGTTGGTGGAGCCACTGCAGCTTGCGTTCAGCATTGATGTTACTTCTTAACCATTCCGCAAGCTGTCTCGGGCGTTGTTTCACCTCGAACCGTGTCATGTGACGCCTGAGCCGTCCTGGTCTTTGGATCGGGTGCTCTCTTTTCTCTCTTCTCCTCGGTTTATGGTGCCCCCCTTTGGTTCAGGATGGTTTCTCCAACTCTCTTTTTCTTGTTGGCGTTGGCCTCTGGGGGTCGGGTCAGGGAGCTTCATGCTCTCCTCCGGTGCAAGGGTTTCTGCTCTTTTGGTCCTGGTGATAGGTTTGTTCGTTTGCAGCCATTTCCTTCATTTCTGGTGAAGAATGAGACTGCTGCTTTCCGGAGGGGTCCTTGGGTTCTTGATGCTTGGTTGGGCCGCGGGTGCATCATGTGTTGTGTCTGGTAGTGGTTCTCCGCTGTTACCTGTGCGTCATGGCCTCTGTAGCCGGGGACATGCTTTGGGTTGACTCGGTTTTCCCTTCTTCTCTGTTCCATAGTTCAGGTCTCCCAGGTTGTCCGCCAGGTTATTCGGTCCAGCCAGTCTGCTGTCTATCCCTGTGCCCACGATGTTCATAAGTTTGCTGCGCTGGCTGCCATCTTCGGTAACATTTGTGGGGCTGACATTCGGGTGCGGGGTTTTGGAGGTTGGACAGGATCCTGGCTGCTCGCTACCTTGTCACTGTTCCTGGGGCTGGTCGGGCCTGTGTCGCGTTGGGTAGGCAGTTGCAGCCAGTTGTCTCGACTTCGGGTTAAGGAGCGAGTGCCGACCACCTTCCGGTTAAGTCCCTAATGTTGTTGTCTTTGGGTAAATAGCTCCGGGGAGCCGAAGGGGCTCCCCCCAAAAAAAACAGTGTTGTATGTAATGAAATGCCATTTTCTGGGTGAAACCTGGCGGCTCCCCTGCAACCCCCCCCCTCCCTCCAGTTGGCGTTTTTTCGCGTTTTTTTGACATCCAGCCTCAGAACTGGGGTGTGGATAGCCGGTGTGAGGGTCTGGTGCTCCCCTTCCAGGGAAGGGGGAGCTGCGCAGACAGTGACGTGGTGACGTCAGGCTTGTTTGTATTCGGGGAGTTCTGTCCATGAGTTTGGCTTTCAGTAGCAATTTCTTAACCAGAATACAGGTGTGTTTTGGGGTGCTTACCTTTCTGGGTGCCTGACCCAGTCAATGGCAGACATAGAATGCTTTCAACCACACGGTGGTTTCCATAGGGCCATGCTCCTCGTGCCTCTTCTGAGGGGGGCCAGGTTCTGGCTCGTGGTCTGCGGTAGGCCTAAAACTCCATTCACATTGATGCCAAAGTCTAATATATCCATATCAGCCTGGATAGCTCTGGGAATCCGGGAAGTCTCCGGGTCTCACCCAGAAAATGGTGTTTCATTACATTCTACACTGTTTTTTTTCTTTTTTTTTTTTTACATTAATGATATTCAATAGCGTATCTTTTGAGAAACTTATATATTAAAATGTGTGGAACGTCGAAATAAATATAAATATAATATATTCATGTCATTACGGTGCATCTATATATACTGTATATAGAACAATACAATACTTTATTTTTGGTGTTATTATACTGTATACACACTTTATATGTACAGTAACTACGAACATTTTCATGCGCGATTTTGAACCGCTAAGCTGTTTTGATGGGTGTGGTAATTTCATAGCGCGGCAAAGAGTTCAGCCTTGCTCTGCATGTTTTGCATAAAATTGTAACTGCAAGCATTGAATGTTATGTGTACCGGCAAGATATGCTCCTCTCCCACCTAATTGGAGTTATAGTACTCAACTTGTACATAGTCTAGATGCCCTTAGTTTTGTTTCGTCGCATTTAAGAGGAGGCAAGAAGCCATGATTTTATGTTATTTCAGTTACAAGTTTGGTAGAGGGGAGACGAAGCCTAGCCTGGGAAGACAAGATGGCTGACCCAACCAGATCCAGATAAGATCAGTTCCCACCGAGAAGAAACTGGAAGTTAAGATACTGGGTCTCTCTGATGTAGAGATGGTGATTGGCTGGGTGTTGGAGGCGTGACCAATGGAAGACTGCCCTGATGTTACATGATATAGCCACCTGAGGCTGATGTTGCCCAGATGTTACTATGGTCTGGGTCATTGTTCGAACAAAATGTACAGCTCGTCACTCCAGCAGTAGTCTAAACTGCGAGATGGACGTCTAGACATACAGTAATTGAGGTTGAGAGCAGAGGAGATACCGTGCAACTACCTGGGAGGAATTTGGGAGTTTTGAAGCACGAGAAGCAGGCAAGAGTGACTGAAGCACCATGGTCTACTTATCATATAGGAAAGCAGTGTTGGAAAGTCAGAGGAAGAACCTGCAAGCCTTCCCTGGATTTGGTGTGACCTGAAGAAGACAGAGGTAGTCCTGGTCAATGTTATTCTGGCAGCAAGGAAGCCCTTGTGAGGAGTGGCCACCAGATACAGCATCCTGCTATGGAAGATGAGTAGAGCAGTGTGGGGAGCGACAGGAATCTGGGACCCTGGTTGGCTCATGAGGCAACTTGTCATGTCGAGAAAACTCCAGTAAAAAGGAAGTGAGTACCTGTCGGACCAGAGCAGTACCAATTTTGGCCATCAGTGAGGCCTGCAGTCATTTGATTCATTGTGGGAACTGAAAAAAAGGAGGTCTACTGCAGTGACACCACTGAGGACATGGAAGGGGATCATTAGAAGGCAAGAGGACAGCTGGGTGATCAGCTACCAACCACAACAGGCTGCTGTAACAGAAGCAACTAGTCTACAGTTTATTAAAAGTAGAAGGTAGATCCACCCCCCACCCCCACCATTTCGCTTGTGTTAGGATGATTATAGTGTTATTTCAGTGATTATGGAATTACTGTTCTTTTCTTATTGCTATCAAGTACTTGCAGATATACTTAAATATGCTATTATTCTAGAAAACTATGAGCTTATCCAGAAGGCCAGGGCAATCATTTATAAGAGAGAGTATCGTTATATTA